ATTATTGGCCCTCACCTGTATCACTATCCACCACAGAGGCTTGCAGGGCCTCCTTGTCAAACCCCTCAATGTCCATATCCTCACTATCACTGACTTGGGCTGGCTGTGGTGGGTGGCAGACACGAGGGAGTATACTCGGAGACGGGAGACAATGGGACTGACGCAGTCAAGGTTACCGACTCATCGCTCCTGTGGCAGGGCAAGCAAAGTTTAATAGACCAATCACAGCTCGTGCCGGAGGAGATGCGTGGGTGGTAAGGATACGTGGCCCATCACAGTCCGCGACGTCATCGGCACGAGTCTGACGTCAGCGACCAGCCGCTTGCAGCGTAAAATAAGGAATATACCGCGTAACTAATAACTGGCGCGTCTGGACAGGTGCCTTGTAAATAGCCAAAAGCGTATAAAATATCCGCGTAAATCCAGACTATACTGTAACTTGAGAGCTTATACATCACCATCATCACATAGCTTAAGAGCTTATACATCACCATCATCACATAGCTTAAGAGCTTATACATCACCATCATCACATAGCTTGAGAGCTTATACATCACCATCATCACATAGCTTGAGAGCTTATACATCACCATCATCACATAGCTTGAGAGCTTATACATCACCATCATCACATAGCTTAAGAGCTTATACATCACCATCATCACATAGCTTGAGAGCTTATACATCACCATCATCACATAGCTTAAGAGCTTATACATCACCATCATCACATAACTTGAGAGCTTATACATCACCATCATCACATAACTTGAGAGCTTATACATCACCATCATCACGTAGCTTGAGAGCTTATACATCACCATCATCACATAGCTTGAGAGCTTATACATCACCATCATCACGTAGCTTAAGAACTTATACATCACCATCATCACGTAGCTTGAGAGCTTATACATCACCATCATCACATAACTTGAGAGCTTATACATCACCATCATCACATAACTTGAGAGCTTATACATCACCATCATCACATAACTTGAGAGCTTATTCATCACCATCATCACATAACTTGAGAGCTTATACATCACCATCATCACATAGCTTAAGAGCTTATACATCACCATCATCACATAACTTGAGAGCTTATACATCACCATCATCACATAGCTTGAGAGCTTATACATTACCATCATCACATAGCTTGAGAGCTTACAGTATACATCACCATCGTCACATAGCTTAAGAGCTTATACATCACCATCACATAACTTGAGAGCTTATACATCACCATCATCACATAGCTTGAGAGCTTATACATCACCATCATCACATAGCTTGAGAGCTTACAGTATACATCACCATCGTCACATAACTTGAGAGCTTATACATCACCATCATCACATAACTTGAGAGCTTATACATCACCATCATCACATAGCTTAAGAGCTTATACATCACCATCTTCACATAACTTGAGAGCTTATACATCACCATCATCACATAGCTTAAGAGCTTATACATCACCATCATCACATAACTTGAGAGCTTATACATCACCATCATCACATAGCTTGAGAGCTTATACATTACCATCATCACATAGCTTGAGAGCTTATACATCACCATCATCACATAACTTGAGAGCTTATACATCACCATCATCACATAGCTTGAGAGCTTATACATTACCATCATCACATAGCTTAAGAGCTTATACATCACCATCATCACATAACTTGAGAGCTTATACATCACCATCTTCACATAACTTGAGAGCTTATACATCACCATCATCACATAGCTTAAGAGCTTATACATCGCCATCTTCACATAACTTGAGAGCTTATACATCACCATCATCACATAGCTTGAGAGCTTATACATTACCATCATCACATAGCTTGAGAGCTTACAGTATACATCACCATCGTCACATAACTTGAGAGCTTATACATCATCATCATCAAATAACTTGAGAGCTTATACATCACCATCATCACATAGCTTGAGAGCTTATACATCACCTTCATCACATAGCTTGAGAGCTTATACATCACCATCATCACATAACTTGAGAGCTTATACATCACCATCATCACATAACTTGAGAGCTTATACATCACCATCATCACATAGCTTGAGAGCTTACAGTATACATCACCATCGTCACATAACTTGAGAGCTTATACATCACCATCATCACATAACTTGAGAGCTTATACATCACCATCATCACATAACTAGAGAGCTTATACATCACCATCATCACATAACTTGAGAGCTTATACATCACCATCATCACATAGCTTAAGAGCTTATACATCACCATCATCACATAACTTGAGAGCTTATACATCACCATCATCACATAGCTTGAGAGCTTACAGTATACATCACCATCGTCACATAACTTGAGAGCTTATACATCACCATCATCACATAACTTGAGAGCTTATACATCACCATCATCACATAGCTTAAGAGCTTATACATCACCATCATCACATAACTTGAGAGCTTATACATCACCATCATCACATAGCTTAAGAGCTTATTCATCATCATCATCAAATAACTTGAGAGCTTATACATCACCATCATCACATAGCTTAAGAGCTTATACATCACCATCATCACATAACTTGAGAGCTTATACATCACCATCATCACATAACTTGAGAGCTTATACATCACCATCATCACATAGCTTAAGAGCTTATACATCACCATCATCACATAGCTTAAGAGCTTATTCATCACCATCATCACATAACTTGAGAGCTTATACATCACCATCATCAAATAACTTGAGAGCTTATACATCACCATCATCACATAACTTGAGAGCTTATACATCACCATCATCACATAACTTGAGAGCTTATACATCACCATCATCACATAACTTGAGAGCTTATTCATCACCATCATCACATAACTTGAGAGCTTATACATCACCATCATCACATAGCTTGAGAGCTTATACATCACCATCATCACATAACTTGAGAGCTTATACATCACCATCATCACATAACTTGAGAGCTTATACATCACCATCATCACATAACTTGAGAGCTTATACATCACCATCATCACATAACTTGAGAGCTTATTCATCACCATCATCACATAACTTGAGAGCTTATACATCACCATCATCACATAGCTTAAGAGCTTATACATCACCATCATCACATAACTTGAGAGCTTATACATCACCATCATCACATAGTTTAAGAGCTTATACATCACCATCATCACATAACTTGAGAGCTTATACATCACCATCATCACATAACTTGAGAGCTTATTCATCACCATCATCACATAACTTGAGAGCTTATACATCACCATCATCACATAGCTTAAGAGCTTATACATCACCATCATCACATAGCTTAAGAGCTTATACATCACCATCATCACATAGCTTGAGAGCTTATACATTACCATCATCACATAGCTTGAGAGCTTACAGTATACATCACCATCGTCACATAACTTGAGAGCTTATACATCACCATCATCACATAACTTGAGAGCTTATACATCACCATCATCACATAGCTTGAGAGCTTATACATCACCATCATCACATAGCTTGAGAGCTTACAGTATACATCACCATCGTCATATAACTTGAGAGCTTATACATCACCATCGTCACACAACTTGAGAGCTTATACATCACCATTATTTAAACTTTTACCATTCATGAGCCTCTTATACCAGGCTTGGTCGTAAAGTGAACTTTCGGGATTGATCCTTTGTTTCTTGGTTAACCCTGGAAACTTCACAGAACAGTACTGTACAGTAGAAGTCCAAAAATCCGGACTGCTTGGGGATTGGGTCGGTCCGGATTTTCAGATTTTCCGGATTCTCAGGCAGTACTTTTAAAATTAATATTTAAGGAGGAATAAAGAAGAGATGAACAGGTACATTTTGATAGTTTATTCATTAGCAAATAAAGCATGCTTCATTTATCAAAACGAGCAGTTTTAAAGAAAAATAATGTCAACACTAGACAAAAATGTAAACAAACTGTCTAATACCATGACGAGTCTTGAAATTCCTAAGCCATCCATCACTAAATGTGCACTCTGATTCAATGTTCATTTGCTCCTTAAAAGACTTTGCTTTGGTAATAAGCATCAGCCCAGAAATTGCCATACCTTCTGATCGTTTTAACAAAACCCATTCGTGCAACACTTTATCAAGATTTTCTAATTTGGGCCGATGTAAACTTTTTCTTTCAGCAATTTTAATGTAAGGCTCAGAAAAAGCTGTGAATGCTAGAATTTTATTCTTTGCCCTTTTTATATCATAAATTGTAGACTTTCCAATGTCGTATGTTTCCATTAGAACAGCATTGCTCACACCATATTCTAGTTTTGTAATTATTTCAAGTTTGTCACTCATTTTCAATGTGTTCTTCTTTCTCTTCACACAACGAAGTTTATCTACTTTAGGGGCCATTATTATGGGCTTGTACTCTGTACATGGAAAGAGTAGGACTTAAAATTACATACGTTGTCACAGTTTTGATTGCTTGTTTTAAAGTGGCGATCGCGTGGTCGTTTATTGTCACTGTGCAGCTGTGGCATTCGCGCATGCACACACACACACAAAAGATTTATAGTGCCTCAAATTTTACATTTCAGTTCAAGCTAATTACAAAACTAACAAAATTAGCTACCTATAATTTACAATTACTTTTATTATTAGAATTATGTAAATTAATTTTTTATAGCAACTCCATTCATTCACGTAACCCACAAAAGCCCGCTAAATTTAAAAAGTTTGAGTTTTCGAAAAGTCCGGATTCTCGGGTGGTCTGGATTCCTGGCATCCGGATTTTTGGACTTTTATTGTACTGTAGTTTTATGCAGTATTCAGTAATATAATGTGTAATTGGATATTTATATGATGATGTCAAGTATTACATATGATTTCAGTCATGAAAAGATTATTGAGAACAGGAAAAACATTAAATTTTTTTTTTTATTAGGATCTATTTTTTTGTTCTTTTCTAGGACTAGGTTGTTATTGACAAGATTCCCCCATAGAAATAGAGACCAGAAAAATTAGAGTGTAGACAAAATAGTGTAGCCAATACTCCCTGGACTATGGCTGGCTCAGCTGCTGCCCCCACATCTTTAGTTGAGATAACAATATCTGGAAGGTAAGCTTTACTATAACACTTCTTTCATGTAAGTGATATCATTTCAAATTACTGTACAACTTTTTAACAAAACTATATAATAACCTTTGAGATGATGACTGCACAACCTTGCACCAATATTTAGCTATAACTATGTGCGTCCAGTTTTCAGTGACCTACCAGCCACCTACAGTCCCTAAATGTTATGTATAATTCTACTTGGTAGTTTAGTTTGCTGACAGTGGTGTTACAGTACAGTACAGTACAGTACATTATTCATATTTCTATGCTTAGTAACATAATGAATTGAATGTTTCTTCAGCAGACATGGCAGTTTTCTGTGTAGTAGCCATATTTTGAAGGTCCATTAGATGTGAAACCTTCCATCTAACAGATAATATGAAGAGAGAAGTCTGTTATGTGGTGGTTTCACTGAACTGTTTTCTATATCTTGATGGATGCTTTATGCTAAGAAAGAAATAAGTTATGTGTTCTTATTCACCTGCTAATAAAATATAAATTGGGTTGATTCCTGTTTAGCCATTCTTCTGTTTAATTGGCCATTTGCCCACTAGTATGTCTGTATGTATGTCCATTTGCTCGCTAGTATGTCTGTATGTATGTCCATTTGCCCACCAGTATGTCTGTATGTCCATTTGCCCATCAGTATGTCAGTATGTTCATTTGCTCACTAGTATGTCTGTATGTATGTCCATTTGCCCACTAATAGAAATATATATATATATATATATATATATATATATATATATATATATATATATATATATATATATATATATATATATATATATATATATATATATATATATATATATATATATATATATATATATATATATATATATATATATATATATATATATATATATATATATATATATATATATATATATATATATATATATATATATATATATATATATATATATATATATATATATATATATATATATATATATATATATATATATATATATATATATATATATATATATATATATATATATATATATATATATATATATATATATATATATATATATATTCAAGTTCGGTTAACGAGATTTCGGTTAACGATTTACCTTCCATAAGATTCTTAACTTTGGTTAACGAGCAATCCCTCGATTAACGAGTTTTATACGAGCCGACTTCAACATGTTTTCGCTTGCATTTGGCGGTCCACCAGCTGTAGTATTAGTCCGCCAATACAGTAATCGGTTCTAGAGCTTAAATTCCTTACTATTTTAGTAAATATCAAGAAGTTTATACTATTCAATAATTTTAAAAGTTTAATATTAACTTTTTTAGTCATTTTAACAATTATTGAACATAATTGAAGGTAAAGAAACTAGTTTCTGGCATGCCATCCAGCCTGTTAACACACCAGACAGGCGTTAGTCGCTCTCTGTTTTCAGTGGAGGTAACATCTTGCTTGAGACTCGCTTCAACTAAATGCTTTTTTTTTGTGTTTCCAAGCAAATTATTGGTCATTTTGAAATTTATTTTACATATTGACAATATATAATGCAGTGCAGTGTTGATTTAAAGAAAATAATCTTGAATTACACCAAGAGAACTAAAATTTTATGGGTGCAATGGTGCCATGGGGTGACTTCTCTTCTCCCTTCTCCTCCACTCCCATTGTAATTTCCATCATCATCATCATCATCATCATCATCATCATCATCATCATCATCATCATCATCTAGGAGCCTTCTACATACACACCTTAAAGTAAGTGTCAATTTCTAAAAAAAAATTTGAATTTAGGCAATTTTCGGTGAGCTGGAACCAATTACCCAAAACCCATTGAAACAATGGTTTCGGTTAACGAGATTTTCGGTTAACGAACAACCTGCTGGAACGGATTGTGCTCGTTAACCAAGGGACCACTGTGTGTGTGTGTGTGTATATATATATATATATATATATATATATATATATATATATATATATATATATATATATATATATATATATATATATATATACAGTTAACCCTCACATTACGCGGTTAATGTAACCCGGAGGGTCCCGCGGAAAGTGAGGAACGCGTAAAGTGAATAACATAACATATGGGATTAATTGAAATGGAGTCCAGGCCGATCCCCAAACTCCACTTTTTGACGACACACAACTATGTTGTAGTAAAAATTTTATCTTAACTTTATGATGGTATGAAAAAACAAGTAATATAGAAGAGGTTAGGTTAGGAAAGATAAAGGTTAACATAGGAAAAATAAAGAATAGGTTAAAAAACTAAAAATTTTGTGGAACACTTACGGTAGTAGAAGAGATGGGTCGGCATACGGGGATGGAGGCTGGTTCCGAGGCAGAGGGCAGATTACTGGCCCTCAGGTGAATCACCATTACTAGGTGAATCATCATCACTGTCACTTACAGTTGTCAGGGCTTCCCTGACAAATCCCTCAAAGTCAACTTCACTGTCACTATCACTGGCTTGGGCTGGCTGTGGTGGGTTGCGGGTGAAGAAATCTGTTATGCTTTGCTGACGGCTGGCGTTGATGTTGTCGTGATACACCGTGATGTACGGCTCCATAGCCTGCACCAGCCGGTTATGGAAGACTTCATAGCGGTCATCGTCATTGTCGCAGGAAAGGACGGACTTAATTTTCTCTGCAAACTCCATGGCACACTTAATATCACTGTGACTTAAACTGTGTTCTTCGGAGACTGACGCACCTTCTTCCTCCTCTTCACTGACGTGTTCTTCTTCCAACATCTCGTCGGCAGTCACTTCAGGATTTCTGATCACCTCCAGGATGTCGTCGTTGGTGGTCTCGGAGAAGCCTGGAACTGTAACAGTCTGCGCAGCTTCTCTGGCAAGGTCCACTGCTACTGCAACATTCTGAACCTCACCAGTCACAGATTGACTCCTCCTGTCACCTGGTATTCCATGCAACACA